CCCCCCCCCCCCCCCCCCCCCCCCCCCGTTTGATTCAGGCACGCTGGAGCCGAGATACTTTTTCTCAAAAAACTATTCAGTGGTAACAAAAGCGCAGGACCATGCGTTTATTATGCTAGTATGTCCTACAGATTTCCAATTTCTGTGCAGTCTACGTTTTTCTTGAAAAATGAATTCGTCTGCGGATCCCTGTGATTTCTCCCTAACAGCTCTACGTTGCGGTCTTGGCAGTACTTTTTTTTTTGATGTTGCAGTTCCAGTGCCACTGAAACCACCTCACGCCTTTATATATTTCACAAATCCTAGATTTAGTGATACATTCACTTATATCTGCCCGATAGGCTTCAAGCCCTGGTCCACTACTTACGATTGTCCCTCCTTGCCAAGTTAATCTCGTTCCATTCTACAAAACTATTGTCCAAACGGCCTCCACTGCTTTGCTGTCGACGCAAACACAAGACTGTTTATGCACTGCAAAACGCTACTTTCCTGGCAGTACGACTTTTACACTACCTTTCATTTATTAAAGAAAATTTTCGTTATTTAAATTTCCATCTTCTTTTCACGTATCAGTCGATTTCACGACTCATTTAGCGCCATTCCGGTTCAGACCGTGATTTATTCCCTTGCGTCCTTTCTATCCTATATAGTTTTTGTGTTCTCCCAGCCTGCGATTAGTAGCACCCTTTTATATGCATCACCTATGCATAAACACAGCTAAACAAATTGCAACTGAAGGAGAAATTTAAAAAAGAACAGTTTATTTCGTAAAACACCATATTCCTGTTTTTCTTCCAAAATACTTGGGACAGCATTACTGCTCCCGTTGCACTCTCTCCTACACACACGCATACGTATACACATAACTAGCAAACAAAACAGCAACTCGGGCAATGCGGTGCTACAAATTTTTTTTTTTTTTAAATTAACCAGTGAACAAAAAGAACCGAAAATATGGTTAAATAACATATAATTTGGCTAAAATTATCCAACATACTGCTCTGATCACTGCCGACTTTAATCGCTCTGGTCATTCTTGGTCACTCCTTAACTTTGCCTTTAATTGCTCTGG